TACTTGTATTAAGTCATAAATCAGCATTAAACTGCATCGTTCATTTGTATATTATATACACAACAAGCCTTGTGAGCAAGAGTTTAGGTAATCCAATACAGTGACCGTGATTGTGATTGCGGCTGAGATTGTGCTGCTCCGCTTGATTGCTAGAACACCTTTTATCTGCGTTTTAAGGAGTGCCAAGCTTGTGTCGAGCCACATCGTGGTACTCTCTCTCTCCGATCAATAATTCACGATAAACGCGTTTAAAGTATTTCGAAGAGACCTCACTTCCACTTTCTGGTCACGAAGGAGCCTGCATTTCTGCAGCATTTTCAAGAAGCCACTCTTCCTCTTTATTAAGTTCTTGTAACATTATAATAGTGAACAAAGATATAAGGTACCAAGAACCGTTCTGTGATATCTATGTTAAACACTTAAATAATTGAAAAAAAAAAGACTAAAAATTTTTAAATATAAGTATATATATTGTGTGGGGTGAGACAGAAGTGTGTAAACATAAAAAAGAAAATTAAGCAATTGTTTCGAGAGAAGAGCTAAAAAAAAATTATACGTAAACATTAACACATAACACTGCGCAAGTTGAGAAGACAATGTCCAACAATCCTCAGTGGAAAACGTTCCAGCCGCCAATCATGAACTCTGACCCAGCAATACTTGACTACAAGTCTATGGCTATACCAAGTCCTAAAGCCATAACGGGATCTCATCAGCCGACGTCTAACAATTATCGAAATGGTACCAACTACAGTGGTGATCATTATATGGGTTCACCTCCTGAATGTAAAAATTCTACCAACTACGGAAGTTATCCCGGTACACAGTCATCGCCACGCAATGGCGCCACAAGATTCCCGTTTGAATTCACGGGTATGGAGACGAATACTGGTTATACAAGCGAACCTGCCACCAATAATTCTACCTACCAGGATCAATCTGCGAATCAAGGAACACGAGAAACTGGTATAATTGAGAAGTTACTGGTAAGTACTACGGACGCCACGAAATTTGATTGTCTATGATCACGAAATGTATAAGTGACTAATTTTTACGTAATTTTTATTCAACAGCACTCTTACGGATTCATACAATGCTGTGAAAGACAGGCAAGATTGTTTTTTCATTTTAGCCAATTTAGTGGTAATATTGAACATTTGAAGATTGGAGATCCGGTAGAGTTTGAAATGACTTATGATCGACGAACGGGCAAGCCCATTGCAAGCACCGTTAGCAAAATTGCCCCAGTGGTTAGTAAAATAATAACAACAACAATAATAATAAAGGAGAAGTGATTGAGTAATAAAAAAAAAGATTTACAAGAAGAGTAAATGTACGGACACAATTTCTTTTAGGCGTTAGGCGATCAACGATGCAGCGGCAACGTAACAACAGAGTTACAAGCGAGTGGCGATTCACAGGGACGTATCAGTTACGAGAACCGTGGAGAGTGTTTTTTTCTGCCATATACCAAAGATGATGTTGAAGGAAATGTCACTTTACGCGCTGGTGATAAAGTATCATTTCAAATTGCTACTAATCAACGGTATGATATGTCTATTTGTATTTGTTAGTAAATTGAAAAAAACTTATATAAGTAATAATTTCTCTTATAACGCAAACGTTTATATTCTAGAGGAAACTTGGGTGCATGTAATGTAAGGTTGGAAAACCCAGCACATCCAGTTCGTTATCGCGGAGTGGTATGCTCAATGAAAGAAAATTTTGGCTTTATCGAGCGTGCTGATGTAGTCAAAGAAATATTCTTCCACTTTAGCGAGGCTAAATCTATGAAAGAAGAACTTAGGCTAGGAGATGATGTGGAGTTTATAATACAAACGCGCAATGTAAGTAAGATTAAAACTGTATAAACGTTCCTTCAAAAGATACCCATATATATATGTGTGTGCGTGCGTGTGTGTGTGTGTAACATTTGATATAAATAACTAATCCAGTCAGCAAAATGTTAGCAATTTATGTCAGTACGTACATGTTGCTGACAAATTCAATCAAAAATATTTAGCAAAGTATTATCAATTGTATCTGCATTAAGCTTGTGTTTTGCTGACATAATGTGAGAACAAATCAGTAAAAATCGAGCAAAGTTTTGATTGATTTTGGTTTTGATTCTTGCCGTCAATTTGCTGTCAGGTTGAGTCAGCAAGTTTTGCACGATTTTTGCTGACAATTCGTTCTCATGTTACGTCAGCAAATTTTGTTGTATATGTGCCACGAATATACATCAAATTTGATGCCTTTTTGTTGACAAAATTTGTTTCATAGATTTGGTTGACTGTGAAGTATTTAAAATTTAATGTTTTTTTTTATTGCAGGGAAAGGAAGTAGCTTGCAACATTACAAAGTTACCACCTGGCTCAATTATATTTGAGGAAGTCAGCAATGAAGTGGTAAAAGGGCAAGTGTTGAAACCTTTGGAGAGAGGCAATGCTGCTCGTCATCAAAATGATCCGTTAAATGGTCGTATTCGATATAGAGACAGTGATCATTCAGAAGTTGAGGTACCCTTTGGCGATAAAGATCAAAAGGGAGACTTCACTCTTAGGTAATTTTTACGATTTAATAAATGTATTTTTTTTTTCTTTCTATTTTAATCTTATGTGTATTAAATATATTTATTTAATTTAAACGCAATAATGTATTTTCTATATAGTTATAGTAGCTATAATGCAAATTGATTTCTTCAACAGGCATGGGGACTGGGTCCAATTTCGTATTGCAACAGATACTAGAGATCAGCTCAAGAGAGCTACAGAAATTATGTTGTTACCGGAATCTTTCACTGTGTCTGGAGAAAGACGGGAGCAGGGTGTAATACAATCTCTCAAGGATGGTTTCGGCTTTATTCGTTGCGTAGAAAGAGAGCCCAGACTTTTCTTTCATTTTAATGAGTTTCTTGATGTCGATAGAAAAATTAATGTAGGCGATGAAGTTGAATTTACAGTTGTACAAGTGAGTATTAGAATATTAACACGATAATACATAATACACTGTAGTGTTTAAAAAAATTCTTTCGTTATTACAGTTTATTTTCTGTTTTAATTCTAATTTTATTCTCTTTTTTTTTTCTTGATAAGGACCCGTCATCATCATTCTCTAATACTCGACAAAGTGCTATTAGACTGAAACATTTGCCAACGGGTACCGTAACGTTTCAAACTATTATAGAACAGGATATATTAGGTACTGTGGCACAGGACACAAATTCGATGGAACCTGGCCTTATTAGTTACGGCCAACAGAAAAGCATTATTTTCTTCTCCAAAGATTGCGACCCTAAACATATTCCAAAATTGGGTGATAAGGTAAAGTTATATAGGAATTTCAGTGGAAAGTATTCTTGTACTTTTTGGAGGAGCACATGCTCTGTATGTTTTCCTAATAAATATTTATTTGACTTTACAGGTAATGTTCAGTATTGTTCAAGTGAAACGAAATAAGGAACTCGTTGCTGAAGACATATTTTTAGTAAATGCCGCTGGTGAAAAAATTCAAAATGTTAACAAAAAATCAAATGGACAAGTATGTCAAGGTTTTATTGCCGCCCTTAAAGATGGGTTTGGCTTTATTGAGACAGTAAATCATGATAGAGAAATATTTTTTCACTACAGGTGAGGGAGAGATGTGCTTTTGACTTTTGCAGCGAACGATATGTATATATAAAATAACTTATTTTTGCAGTAACTTTGAAGGAGACGCTAGTACTTTGGAATTAGGTGCCGATATCGAATGTACAATTAGTAATTCGAGCAATGGAAGAGGTTCCGGAGGCTGCGTAGCTGCCGATCACGTTAAATTGGTGCCTCGCGGAAGTATTCCCAGGCCAACACCTGTCAGCGAGGTACTCGACGGGACTGTGGTACGACCGCTGCGAAGTGCAAATCCCGAGCAGGCTGAGTACGCTGGTTTGATCAAGATTAATCCGACTAACGAGGACGAGGAGACGCCGGAATATGAATTCGGAATCATGGGACTTTCTAACAAACGGGAGCTATTGCAGGCTGGCGATCCTGTGCAATTACAGGTCGATTCAGCGGATCACGCTTGCAACATCATAGCCGTCAGGAAAAAAAGAAGAGCAACGGTGGACGCGGTGAAGGGCCCTTTCGGCTTTCTCGCTTACGAAGTCGACGAGGGTAGAAAGTTATTCTTCCACGTGAGTGAGGTTCGAGATCACGTTACGTTGCAGCCAGGCGATCAGGTGGAATTCGTTTTGGTTACCAATCAACGTACCGGCAAATCGTCAGCATGCAACGTAACTCGATTAAGGTGAGTTCAGTTTTTCTTTCTTTTTTTTTCTTCGTCTTTGGCGGCAGTGCAATTTTATTTACAAACTTTTGTTTTTACTAACAGCGATACAGTCCAGCAACGACCCGAGCGATTAATAAGCCGATTACGTACTATATCCTTGGAAGAATCAGGCCCAAAATTAACTGTGGTCAGGCAACCAAAAGGGCCCGATGGCACGCGCGGATTCAATCTGGAAAGATGTCAGCGTATTCCTGGTGCCATAGAAGAATAATGCGCCTGGGCAGCTAACGAGATTGGGCTATTAATTATCCAAATTGTACTCTACAATTTGTTTTTTTAGTCCATACACTTCGATACCGAGATTACTATTGTAAGCATGGTCGTAAACGTTTGCCAAATTCAGACTAATGTGACAACAATAATTATAATGATAATAATCTGAAAATGGATGGTGACCAAGGGCCGAAATAATATAAAAGTATAAAAAAAAAGAAAAAAAAAGAACAACGACTCATTTTATCACCTCATAAAGGGAGGAAACGGGAGGCAAAAGAAGGAGGGTTTATCTTACATTCAGATAATGTTAGAATTTACTCTAATACGGAATTGGTTTCTCTCTTTCGTTAATTTCTCACATCTTCATGAATTTATTGCTAGGCTATCTTATTTGAAGTTACTTTTCTGAAACGTAATGGATAGTAAATAAGATTTGTCGAAATTTTTTATTAATACGTTTCTATCCTCGGGCAAGTTCGAGCAAGTACTAAAAAGATATCCCAGAATATTTACAGGTTGGACTGCTAATAACCTGTTTGTATCTGAGATACATCTGTTTTTTATAAAAAGTATCCTTATACGCGTTGATATACAGTCTTTTAAAATCTATATGATTTATTTCGAAATTTGTTTTATCTATTATGTACATTATATATATACATATATATGTGATACGAATGTACAATGGGTAAAAGAAGAAGAAAAAGAAATTACACACGAATACCAGAAGTGATATTGATACAAAAAGGGTTGAAGAAAAACATCTTGCACTACAGATTCTTTATCGGAATTTGCTGAATAATTTTATTATGAGCAATGTGTTTTGTTGTAACAAATTACGATATTGAGTCACTCTGTTAAGATGTCTAAATTTGTAAAAAAGGAAAGGAAGAGTTGTGACTGGCCAACTGTTTATCTTAGATTTTATACATATATATATATATATACACATGTTAAGTTCCTCTAATGCAGTGTTGTAAAATCAAATTAGTATTACTAATTCTGTGGACATACAATGGAAATTATAAAAAAAATTACCTATGTAAAAAATAAGACGTTTTATAAGTTTTGCCATCTAAAACGGTAAGCGAGGTACATGTGGCATTATTGTAGAAATATGAGAGAAATAACGTAAAATATAAGGTAAAGTACATAACACAAGCACGATACAAACTAAGCGCTTGTCCCGAAACTCATGGATCCAACACATCATGTGCATACATATTGTAAAATTATTGATGAATAAACAGTGGAAGCATCGAAATATATCTACCTTCTATGAAACGTCAGAGCTCTTCTAAAACCGCAAAGATGTAACTTTAATACTTACCGAGTTACAAAAGGTCCCGAGAATAATCTGAATGGGGATACAAAATGAGAAATAAATGGAAACGGCGTATCGTCTGTGTGTTTTAATATTTATTATGTATGTACAAAGATGTGTGTAGTTATGTTTTCATGAAATGCGTTTCCTTCCCTTGTATGTATGTATCATATTAAGACAAATTTGAATTTCAGATGAAAGTAAAAGGAGAGATTCGAGTTAGATCACGACGCACTCGTAAGGGAATTGTCCTCGGAGCTGTGTATTGTCTGGTCGTGGACAAGCTGTAACATACAATTATCAATGTTAATTTTTCTCCCGTCTGCATTCTCGTAATATACACTATACGTTGAATGAAAAAAAATTCGAGAAGTGCGAAAACTTTTTTACTATTTAATAATATACCATTTTTTATTCTACCATGAAATCCTTTGCTTTCTGATTCTATTTTAATTCTATTCAATCATTCAGGTGATTTAGTGATGCAAAGATTTAGTGTATAAAAAAAAAGTCACAATATTGGGCAGACTGAAAATTAAATGGGAAATCTGCTGTCATTGAAGGTACTAACGTTTCTCGCAGTAAGTGCCATAAAATCCAGTTCCTTCGCAGCGACATTTAAATTTGGGCTCCGACGATATTTGGGAACATGAGCCTTCGTTCCGGCAAGGATTCGATCGAGAGCATATGTCCCTACGATTTCCTGCAACGAGATAAATCAGAGTTCCTCAAGAATCGTGTACGTCGTCAGTGTGTGTCTATTATTCTACAGATTTTACAGTTCAAGTATGAGCAAGTTTATCGTTTGTCATTTACCTTTCAGCGCTAACTTGCAATCATCATTGTTATCATATCTGTATTCGGATTTGCAGCCGTAGCCGCAACTGCATTGTGCATTGTAGATGCGACATCCATATCGCATCTGATCCAACTCGCATCCCTTCGACAACATAACTCCTGGCAAAAAAAGCTTGGTGTTAACTAGACTGCATTGAACAGCGCTATTGAGCTAATTTAATCGAAAAATTTGTACAGAAAGAAGTTTTAATCTACCTAGAATTTTTCCTAAAAAAAAGTACTCTGTATGAGTATAATTTTCTAGTAATTAACATAATCAAGTAATTTAAGTAATTTTATTATAAATTCCATATTTTAAAAATATGGAATTTTTAATAAACTCTAAGTTGCAATAGAAAAAATATTTCTCAATTTCACAAGCTGATTAATAGAATTTTAACTTCAAATTAAATGAGTTACATGAAGATAATGTTAAATACAAGAAAAATATGATAAATAATGAATGTCTTTGATTTTTTAAATAAGAAATTACGTAATATATTGATTGAAGAAATTACAGTAAAAAAGGTATTCGGTTCTGAAATAACAAGTAGAAGAATAAAGAACGAATAATAAAAATAAGCTCTTTTTTGTTATGTTGTTTTACACGTTTATTAATAACTGTTTTAATGCATATCAGAGGAATTAATAGATGCGGTTCTATTAATTGGGTTCTATATTTGTTAATTATCTACATTATTTTTAGGTGAATGTATGTACATACCACAGATATAGTGGAGAAATATCTACGGTTTATTTACCCCGAGAAGAGATAGTAGCGCTTTAATGAAGGCGAATGTTTGTGCCGGATGCGGTCGGCTGCACTTCCCACTTGTCTAATTTGATAAGCGTTTCACGAGATAGAGGCTACTGTGCGTGGGCTAATCGATTTTTAGATTCGTTTACTCTCGACCTAATGACATGACATTTGCAATCTCTATTTCGTCAACGTGCGGATACGTTGCAGCAAAACGTATATTAATAATTTATTTTTTTTTTTTAGCAAACGCTGCGCTCGCACACTTCTTTGTTCGCGATTCATTCAAGGGTAATTATTAATTACAGACCGATTCGGCCCGTTGTAGCGACAGTTAATCAGTAATGGAGGCGTGTGTGGGATGTTCATCATTGAGAGCGCTATTCACTATCGGTATGATGGGTTTATCATTTGATTACTCAGAAAATAAACTGAGAGCGCGTTTCATATATATATATATATATATATATATATATATATATATATAAAATTTTTTTTTGCTGCTATCCATTCTATGGGAGATTAATTTTGCTGAAGAGACCGTAATAATTCCGAGGAATATTAAAGCCTTTAAATTAACAATCTGATGATACAATAATGACTTATGCTGAAACATTACAAAAAACTAATGAAGAAATCTAGATTTATTATCTAAAAAAATAAATAAAATTAAAGAAAAACCAAGAAAGGTAGATTAGGCGATATATTAATCGGTATTTGCTCTGAAATTTCTCTAGTATTCGCAGGTCCAGTGTACTTGACAAAACTTTAATGTATCTTTACTTAAAGTTAATGTAATTGAACACTTTTTTTAATGGTCAATCCGGGGAATAAGATTAGGTAATTTAAAATTGTGAAAAACATTTGTTATAAACAATTTTTACATAGCTATCTGGAGATTTGGCGGGTAATTGAAAAAAGTGCTCGATCCATCCACACGAATACCGATTAGAGTTAAATAAAATCAAATTTTAAACCGCAAAATCTGATATATCTCAAATCTGATGAATGTATTAATTTTTGTTCAAACATATAATCGTTAATTATTACAATCTCTGGTGTTTGTGTATTCAATTGAGCTATTTATCTCTAATATTATACTTTGGAAGAATTCCATTAAGCACTTAATAATATGAATGTCTAAATTTTAAATGTTTTTACCTATACGAAACTTATGATTCATTGTTTGGAATTTGATACTGTAACATACCTATTGTTAAAAGGAGTAGAACAACCGACAGCGTCAATCTTGGTAGCATGATGTTCTCGGATCACTCGGGCGAGGTGAGTCAAGAGACGTCAAAAAGCCCCGCGAAGGATATCGTGAACGGCGATAATCCAAGAGAGGAGTTCGAAGGGGAGATCGTCGACCGCTCGGCGTCTTCTTGGACAGGCTTTTGTCGCCGGCCCGGTGTCAAAGGTCGACAGACTCCACACAGGGACACGGGGTCAGTGCGATCTCTCTTCGCACGCGCGTTCTCTCGCCGTTGCTGCAACGGGAGAAGCGCTTGCCGTACCGTGCCGTGCCGTGCCGGGGGACGATGCAGCGGTCAAGTCGACCGAACCCGCCGACTCGTGGCAGCTAACTGTCGCGTACCGCTAAACTAGTTACGATCGCGCGGAAGCTGTCCAATCGCTCAAGAACTATGCGTGGGGTGCAACTCGACATCCGTCAACGTTCGCAGTCTGGTGTTTCAGACACGAAATCATGCAATTTCTTTGATTTTTATGCAATATTAATTGAACACGGATCTGTTAACAAGAACGAAACTATTCATTCGCAATATATTACGCTGATAAAACGAAAGATTGTGTAAGAGAAAAAAAATGATTAACTTTTCTTGCAAATCTTAGGTTTCCCTTTTTCGAAATGCATGTCAAGAATGGAGATATAGAGTTAATTAAGTCTCTTGTAATATTTTTTTACTTAAAAAAACTATACTTGCATTTTATGATTACTTGAAATGCGATATAGAGATATTATTACTTGTAATGTCTTTATTGTGATTTCTCACAATTTAAAATTTATATACATGTATGTCTTTTCTTATTTTCTGATAAAGTTTCACGAATTCAGCTTTCGTCCGCTATCACTGCTACGACTGTGTGTGCATGCCACGAAATTATCAGTCTTTGCAACACAGTGCGTCTATTTTTGTCACGAAAAAGAGACTGCGTCTTCGTAAATCGTGGACTCGAGACAAAAGGTAATTCTCATCATGAAAGAATCGATTTTTCGCAATCATCGAATTGATAATCCAGCAGAGCACTCAGAGCAGTCGGATATTACTAATCTTTAATAGATAAAATAAGAATATTCCAATTAAAATCAAATAGAGCATATTATTGATAGGATCGGTTTAAGAAATAAAGCACGTTTTTTTTTGCTTTATTTCGAAGAAATAAGAAAATCCTTACATACCCATGAAATATATCAATTTTCTTCATGTAATTACTAATAGATAATCCACGACTCACTCCATCCTTTGTTCTGTTAACGCAGATACTTGTTCTATAAACTGAGTTAGAAGAAGTTAAAGATAATGTTTGATTATATATATTTTTTATATAGGACAAATTCTTGTCTCACAATACTAGCGAAAATTGATGAATATTATTTGCCGCTAATCGACAGAGCAGTCGGAGTAATTAGAAATAATTGATCATTTATGAAATTACTTTTATTTCATCAAATCATATACGTAAAATTCTTTTCTATAAGTAATGAGTGGATAGAGCTCTATTGGGCAAGATTTTAACTAAAACTTAAATCCGTGAGGATTTAACGACCTATCATCATAGTGCTATCGTCTGTCTGCAGAATTCGATAACATTTGACACTGGCAGCTCTAAGTCCGGAAATTTATTAAATGTGTCAGAGGCAGACCCTAAAATTTACCACTCTTGACAAAGCAAGATTTAATAAAATTTCCCTGTAATCAAGATCGATATGTCAATAGTGTATCATGCGTTATCATATCACAAATAATGCTACGTGTATAATATACATTATAATTTTAACCGATTGTAATGTTAACAAGAAAATAGACACCCACATTATTACATAATTAAAATAATTTATTAAAACAGGTTTTGCTTTCTTTTTTAAACAGATTACAAAGATGTTAAGGCATTTTATTTATCTACTACTATGTCTAAAATCTAAATTATACCTAATTGTGCGTATCCTATTAGTGAATATTTTACATCTTTAATGTAAGATATCAAAAATTAATAAGGCAGTGACAATTACTTTAACTCAATATATCAAATATTTCATATTTTTAAGATGTATTCTACATGGCATTATAAACACAGGAGTGTTTAGTCATGATTTTGTGCATTTATTGTCGTAGAGTATACCTATTTCGGTTGTAAAACGCATCCGACATTATTAGTACATTTGTACAATATTGGCTAATTCCATTTTTTCCATATTAGTTTCTGAATTCTTTGTATTTTATTTAAAGTTTAATTCAGATTTTATCACTTATGTGGCACATTTTTTAAAACTTTTCTGGAATGTTCATATTCTGGAAAGAATATTTTCAAATAAAATCCGAGATTGATTTTATTTAGTTTGATACTCAAATTTAAAATGTTAGTACCTTACATAAATGTTTGGTCGTGTTGCTCGTGGATCATCGTTGCCCTTCGGGATTGAACCAAACCAGATTGTCTATTGTACAATTCTCTAACCAGGCTATCTTTTTCTTGTTCAAGTAACACTATTCGTTGGCTCTTTTTGCTAACCTCCTATTTTGGTGTATGAAATAAAATAGATTAGATTAAATTAATTGATTCGCTATGTTTTTCATATAATGTATTATTATTATTATTATTATATATATATATTACCTCGGTTAATCTGTGATTTTGTTGTTTAAGCCTTGATAGCATATCTTGCTGAAGTTGGGCCGAAGTCGGAGCACTCAGAAACGCGAGATTCATATGAAAAGGAAGTCCTCCGCGTTCCCAGCTGCTTATCAAGGCAGCTAGATGTCGATTTACTTCCAGGACACGCGCGCGTTGCAGTTCCAAGCGCTCTTGCTGTGCCTCTGTCCATTGTTCCTATGTGAAACACAATCGTACATATTTATTCTATTTTGCGCAGACCTCTATGTGATATCAGAAGATAAAAAGTATCTTTTCTCTACCACGTGGGAACCCATTCGTCCAAGGTGCTTAATCTTCTCTTGAGTGGCCGATATTTGCTTCAAATACCATTCTCTAGCTTTATCAATGGCAGCTAGACCTTGAAGCAATACATCCTTCTCTTGCTCAATCTGCTTCATCCTCTTCATCTAAAAACCGTTATGTATTATGAAAATATTTTTCAGAAATATCAAACAGATACTGGGTTTTTGCCTATATATGTATATACATACAATTTATATTAATTAAAAAATAATCAAAATTATAGGATACATGGCTTTCATTCTTAAGAGATATGTGTCGCTGTTAATATTTAGTGCATACCCAGAACCAATCACCAAGAGTTAGTTGGGAGTCCTAGAGGAGAACATCTTTACCATATTGTAATCAATACCATTCTGCAACGTGTGCCGCCTGGGCTCTCTGCGGCGATTTAACAGTTTCTTGGGTTGAAGCTGACCGAGTTGATTACTCTGTATATCGACCGCTTTACCGTCGCCCAGGATTCTGGCCGGTCTCAACAGCGTCCTGGCGTCCGGCCTGTAATTCACGGTCTGCAGCTGACGCTTCTCCTTCTCGTCGCTCATCATGAGGCCCATCTGCCAATTTTGCAGCGCGGTCCTGATCTCGGACTTGTCAAAATTACGCTCCAGGTGGCCCATCGTTCTGCCCTCCAGCGCGGCGCCGGTCCGCGGCGGTTTCGGCGGGCCGTACATCTTGTTGATCTTCGGCTCGCCGCCGATGTTCCTTCCGTCCATCAGCTCCAATTGCGCGTTCACGTCCTTGCGATTGGCGGCCGCCAGCAGCTGCGGCATACTGAGGGTACGCTGCTGGGATATGGCGTTATTCGGCCTTATGGCGGCGGTGTTGGGCGAGGTCCAGGCCGCCTTGCTCTGACTGTCGGGGATGAGTATCGGCGCGGACGGCGGCCTGTTGGGCTGGCCGTCGTGCTTCTTCGTCTCGGCCTCCGCCTGTATCTGCTGCAGCAGGCAGATCTTCAGGCCGGCGCAGAATCGCTCGAACGACAGCATCCCGTTCGGCGGCGTGACCTTCTTCAGGCTGTCGAGCACGCCCTTGGGTAGGCCCTGCGTGCCGTCGTCCTGCCAACGGCCCTCGATGTCGACGAACTTGACGAGGCCGGTGTTCTGATCGTCCATTATGTCGAACAGAGTGCGCATCGCGTTGACGAAGTGCTTCGGCAGCCCGTCCACCGTCGACGTCTGTATTTGCGCCATATTTCGTCAGGCTTTAACCTCAGAACGGTATCCGTTATGCGCCGTCGTCGTCGTCCTGGATAACGGCAGAACTACATCATCGAGGAGCGATCGGAGGTGGCTACTTAGCTGATCGGCCGTTTCTATCACAGACACGCTCTCCCCGCGTCCTTCCTCGCGCGCATATCTGATGAATTATTGTCGGTCCTCGCTCGCGGATCCAACGATCACATCGTCATGCACCAGGTTTACGATTGTCACACAGGTTGTTTTCTCCGCGAATTAACCTCCTCTCGCGCGGCCATATGCAATCATGCGTCAGTTTGTCTGGTCCCAGCACTCCCAACATTCCCAGCAGGTGAAGCGAGAGAAGCTTGAGGGTAAACGTAATCCATGTTTTAGATGGAATTCGTTCATTGGCGCCTGTGTGTGCACAAAATGTGCACGTTGAACTATGTAGCCATGGGTGTTTTCGACAGGTAAATACATCAATAAACTTCGATTTTGTTTGTTATTTTTGTTTCATAATTGTTTGATTCTATTCCAAACAATGGTGTGCTGTATTCATAAAAATATATTATAATTACGTAACAATGCATTATAAAAATAACTAAAAATTGGAATAATTTAAGTTTAAAAGGATATCAAAGATATGTGAAAAAAAGCATCAAGTATGTCAATTTTAATTTTTAAGAGGATGCTAAACCCTAGATCAAACTCTAAAAATCCGCTGTTTTACCGACAATTTGTGAGTATGTTGCGTGCGATATTGATGTAGTAGTGTGTAGTGATGTGTCATGTTTATTACCACATCAATATATCTCACGCATACATATACACAAATTTGTCGGTTACCAATATATCTTTATTTAGGCTTCTATACAATTAATTCTAACGACTCACATATACTCATTTCTTTATTGCACATCTGGCTCTGCCTTCATTTCGAGCATATAACCTGCCTAACTTTTCCACGAAGTAAAGGTTTTGGTAAATTGATAGCATTAGTCGCCATGTGAGGTTAAAATGGATAACGAAATCTGTAATTATTTCATTTTTTCCCGTTTTTGATACAAAATGCACCAGAGCCAGATACATTAGCATGTGTGTTTTAATCGTGGAAAAGGAAATTTTATTTTATGCGATTAATACGAAGTAATTAGTAACCAACAAAAATGGTATTTTTGTCGATAAAACAGACGGCTTAAGCATCCTCTTAATAGTGTTCAAGCACATGAAACACACAAAAATCCGTAAATGTGTTATCCACTGAAAATATCTGTGGTTACGTAGTTCAACCTGCACGCTTTCTGTACTTAGAGGCGCTGTAAACGGATTTCATTTAAAATGCGGGCACGTCCACTCTTTAGACTTAAAATTCTCTCTCTATAATTTTCATGACCTTTGATAACCGCAGATAACAGCGTTTCGAGTTATATTTTTCTGATATAAACTTTTTGTTAATTTTTATTCAAATCATTAAAAATTCATATCTTTGAAGGAGAAATATCGTAGGTGGCATTGTCCGCAATTATACAGCCTTTTTCGGAAAGTTTTCTTCTTTTCTTCTCTCTCTCCCTCTTTTTTTCTCTCTGTCTCGCTCTTGCTGTCTCTCCTTTCCTCGCATGAGGCGCGTGGTCTGCTTCGCGCCGCCATCTTGAAATGCAATGTCATCGGCGCGTCTCGTAAGCGCTTGCAAGTAAGATCGTGAGCAGGCAGGAGCAGGTAGAAGGGTTGGTTACTTCAGTCCCGTCGAAACGGCAATTTCCCTTTTATATCGGCAAACATGTCGAGCGGTGCGCTCTTCGGCAATAACGCTTCGCGCGGCGCCTCGAAAAATCTCGTGGAGTTCAAGGCTGGCAAAATGACCGTGAAAGGAAAGATGGTTTATCCGGATACGCGAAAGGGCCAGCTCTACGTCTACCAGTCTGACGACTCGCTGATGCATTTCTGCTGGAAGGACCGCACGTCCGGAGTGGTCGAAGATGTACGACGGTTATTTTTGTTCTTATTACAGTTCCAGGAAAATTTTGCGATCCTAATTATTTTATTGTACATTGATTTACTGTTCGCCGTGTGTCAAATGTATATGTTTCTACAATTGTGTATTCTTTTCCAGGACCTAATTATCTTCCCTGACGATTGCGAATTTAAACATGTTCCCCAGTGTAAGACTGGCAGAGTGTATCTTCTGAGATTCAAGTCGTCGAATAAGAAATTCTTCTTTTGGCTACAGGTATAGAAAGTATAATTTTGTAATGTATGCATAGTTACAGAACCCTCGCAATTGGATCTGACTTATCCGCCTTATTTATATAATTTAACAAGCATCTGAAAATATTTCGCCCTTGTTACATTACACTTCACCTGATTCAACTGTCTGTACATTAAAGATGATGAAAAAAAATGTACATTTTACTTGTGCAGGATCTCAAAACTGACAAAGATGAGGAGCACTGCAGAAAGATTAACGATGTACTTAATAACCCACCGACTCCGGGCTCCCAGAGGAGCGGCGGTACCAACACCGAAGGGGATCTGCAGAATCTCTTGAACAACATGTCGCAGCAACAGCTTATACAATTGTTCGGTGGCGTTGGCCAGATCGGTGGTCTCGGTAGTTTATTAGGAACAATGAATAGACCGCACGGTGTTCAGAGTACAAGGGCTTCCACTACGACTTCATCCACTCCAGCCACTACGAACGTAACTAGACCACCTCATTCGTTGACTCCCGGGCCTAACGCGGACTCTAAATCTTCAAGTGAGTAATACCGTTCGTTGGAATAAAACAGTGTATTCTAATGATATATTCATCCAGGTAATAATAAATCATCAACACGAACAACCGCTCCGTCCACGCCAGCTGCAACTGCAGCTGCAGCTGCAGCTCCAAGCAATAGAATACAGCTTAGCGACTTGCAGAATTTTCTATCGGAAATTCCGACGCCATCCCGAACGGAGCCAGCTGTGCAGGTAATATCATATTTTTTTTCATTTTTTCTACTGAATTAATCTGAAGGTTGGATTGAATTGAAACTTCGATTGAAAGATAATCGAATTTTCTAACAAATGCAAATGACTGCAAATATAATGCAATGCGCTATTTTTTAAATATTGTAATATTTGTATTAGAAGAGCTTTTGAATTAGCATAATAAATGATGGGTAATAGTATTTTGTGAGTAGAAGATGCTTCTGTCATAAATTTTTAATGCTGGTTATATGAGTATACATTTATACAGAGTATCCCAAATCTTGGGAATCTCTCCTAATGTCCTTTTTATCATAACTTTTTAATCTTTTTATGATCAATTTACTTTCAATGCATATGTCAAAGCTATAATTTTTGCGTAATAAACAATTGCAGCTTTGAATAAATTAAACTTCAAAAGAAAAGATAAAACGTAAATTATTTTTATTAATTTATTATTTTTTAAATAGATTTTACTTGTTTGTGAATGTGAACTTATAGCTTAATAATACTAAAATGTAGAATATTTATATAAATAAAATTAGAAAAAGCACATTTTTATTAAGAGCAAATTCTTCTTATTTGCTATAAGATCAATAATTAATTTATTTTCAATGATTCTGGGACACCCTGTAAATGACTCCTAAGAATATCACAGTAATGATCAAAAACATCATATTTACATTGAAATTGCATTATAAAGCGTTTATTAAAAATTAACAATTTTATAAACATATGCATGTTATTATTTTTATTTTTTAATACAAAGATTACAGTATATACGTATATACATATATAAAATGTTGTATAAAATCTTATCTTTTATCCAGCGAAAATATCTTCAATCAAATGTCAATCAGATAAAAGTTGATTGATTTCCTCGAGAATGTTGTATTATATATTGCATCTGCATTCTTGTCTACACTTATAAAATTGTTTACGTTTTACGTAAACGTTATTGTTTTAATAATAAAACAGTTCTATGAATAATTTTGAAATAAGGAATCTGAAAATCAAAAATATATCAATTTAATTAATAATAATATTATATTGCTACATAAAATCAATGTTTTTATGAGTCAGTTTATATACAGATAACATATTTTTTTCAAACATGAAAAAGATAAGATTAAATCCCTTCTTTCCTAGAATAGATTGTGGTTACAAGACCACACTTTTAATATTGTTTTAAATCTTAAGAGAGATAAATGTTATATATTGAATATATTAATAAGTGTAGGTTTCACATTGATTATACAATAAATATTGTTACGTATTATTTTTTTATCAAATGAAGAGATAAAAAAAGATATCGAATATTTATCTTAAAATCATTGTCGTATTAATATGGAAGAGGAAAGCCAGAGGAACAGAAGATTAACGATTTTCACACAGTTCATACATAAAAAATATGTACGTACTACAGTGAAAGCGCAATAAGTAAATGATGAAGCCATACGTGCAATTACAAAAGAGAATCTATATGGAAGTTCTTAATGTGTAAACAAAGTTTAATGTAAAAAATTCAAGGAATTGTTTAATCTGAAATAGATTATCTGTCGTATATTACTAATTGCATATTTTTTACAGCTGCTATCATTGACAGGGATATAAAGTGCCATTCTTGATAACAGAAGTTGCAGAATAACTCTCAAGCTCATTCAGTGTTTTACAAGTGTTTAAAATGGTTCTCTCTGAGTGAGCGAATTTTTTAACTTCATTATTCGTGAATAATTAATAATAATAACAGTGTCAACATAATCAACATTGCAATGTTAAAAAATTAATATTGAAAATATTATATGTACACTTAAATTAACAAAACCATTGCTAAAGAAATTTGTGATGGAATAACGAAACTTCGTACTTAACGTACCTGAATTGAGTCGAAATTTTAATGTTTTGTAGCCAAGTTTATGTGTTAGTTCATGTGCTTGTAGATCGTAATATCATTATAGAAGTCATGTGATCAATAAGTCCTAGCTAACATGTTTTACAATGTTGTGTTTGCCTTTCTCTGCTTCTGAAACTCAGTAGGGTTTTAATAATCTATAAGCGAACTTTACGTTATCACTCTCAATGTTACACAGTCCAGTGCAGCTTTATGTAGTAATATTTCTTTGAAAGACCGTTTTAAACATATTGTACATTTCTTACAATACTGTGAAATTACATCTATTAACACGCATTTAATGTTGGATACGAAATACTCTTTAGTCCTGGTAAGGAGAAGTGTTAAAAAGAAATCGAGTAGCAACAATCGTGTTTAAAAATTCGGCGATGGTTCTGGTTGTCAAATTAATTGGTTGTTAATCCGCAGTATATATATTGTGATAGAGCAAGACTAGAGAATCAAAAAGACAGAGGCATGGTTTTCTCACTGTTCAATACTACTCTTTGTCTGAACTTTTCCTGGCTGTCGGAGACTCTGGCTCTGCTGCGCAGTTGGGGAAGTTTCTCCGGGTATGTCTGTTGTTTTCGTCCAGCTACAGCGCAGCTTATTGTCCGGCAGAGGGGCGTAGCGACAGAGCTGACCAACGCTATCCCAGCGGCGATCTCTACGACGGAGAGCTTGGAGAGTGCCATGAACGTGCACTTGCCACCTGGGGACAACCTGTCTACCACGCTATCGTCTCCCCAGTTCTCCCAGGCGCTATCAATGTTCTGGTCTGCTTTGCAGTCGGGCCAGGCGGGCCCTGTCATCCGTCAATTCGGCTTGGGACCGGACTCCGTCAATGCCGCGGCCAGTGGAAACATCGAAGAATTCGTCAGCGCTCTGGAGTCCGAAGCGAAGAGCGGTCAGGGACAGCAAGCGCAACAGGGGCAAGATGACAAGAATAAGAAGCAATCATCATCGGCTAGTCCTGATAAGAAGGACGATGACGACGAAGGCATGGCTTTAGATTAAGGATGGGATTTGTACGCGTCTCTAATTTCAGGCGGTTCCCTTTTCTATTCAGAAACCATGCGTTGCATATTATGTTACAATATACATATGTTACGAACCTGCATATACAATAAAAAATCTCTATGGACATATTCTGAATAATTTAGTCATGTGTACACATATATTAAATTTCAGTGATATATATTTTTTTTTATATGTACGTAAACGTTTTCCCAAGTGTTCGAGAATCTATATATTAATTTTGTACATTAATAAGAAATTAGCAAACACGATCAAATAGAAACAGGAAATTTTATCATGTACTATCAAAATTGCACATAAGTACGAAAATTGGTATATTGGACATTTTGTACATTTATTGGATTAATTAAATTGCAAATGCTTAAATAAAATAATTTAACAAAATATATATATATACAATTTGACTGAGTTTTCAAACACCTTTCGAACTTTTTTATGCTATTTGAAAAACTTCACGCGAATTTTATTTATAAAAAAATTATTTTGTAAAAGAAATATAATACAAGAAAATCTAAATAAATTAATAGTAATTCGATAACATGAAAATATTCATTTATTTTATTCCTTTTATAAGCTGAATTTGGCTCATAAAAAGTTGATAAGACTCAGCTGATGCTGACATATCGATTATCACGAAGACCAATGAAATGCTTGTGTGTCGTAAACAAAAACGGTCGATACATAATATATATTTTGTTAACAAACGCAACTCAAATGTAGAATTTAAATCGTAAGAGAGGCGAAATGGCGGGAAAATATGATCCAATCGAGCGCTTTTGTTTACGACGCACAAGCGTTTTATTGGACCTTCGTGATAATCGATATATAGCATCAGCTGAGTTTTATCAACTCCTTAGTTGAATTTAGCTTATAAAAAGAATGAAATAAATTGGTGCTTTATCATATCGTTGAATTATTATTAATAGTTACGATATAATTAGCACGTTTATTTTGATTGATTTTCTTAGAGTAAAAAAGGTTAGGTCGAAAAAGTAAAGGTTGTTCGAGGTGACGCCGTCAATGGTGTCGTCAGATGTTTGTACGGTTGATCGCGGTGATATCCGATTGGCTGCTTGATCATGACATCATTCAGGTGCGGCTGTTAGCGCGAGAAACTAAATATTTAGATTCTTTCAACAATTATCTTTTTTTTTTTAGAGAAAAAAAAAATTAAAAAATTTCTTAATTGTTTGATAGCGATGCAATAATTAATTCTAATTAAAGCATTTATAAAATTGTAACGTCATTGACAAAAGTCTTAAAATTAAATGAAATAATTCATTGTCAGTTATTAGTAGCACAATAAATAAAATTTTAATAGTTTTGTATAATAGAGTGAGCCAAAGTCTATCCCAATCTAATCAAGTGTACAAATTGCAGTTGACGAGAAGAAGATATTCGAACGTAACGCGCGTTTTCTTTTGGACTTTCAATTAATAAGCGACAGAGATAATTAATAATGAAATTCGAACCGGGTGTCAATCGAGAAACGCGCGATACGATTGCGATAGCGCCAAGAAAAAAAGTGCTGGTCGATTTACCGCGTCGCTGCCGTGACGCGACGCGTCCGTACCGATCGAAGCAGCGGCGTCCCGGCCGGGGCGTTTGTTTGTAAACACGACCGTAAACACGACGGGGCGCCCGCTCGCGCCGGCCCGGCCCTGCGCGCGCGACCGACGCGGCTGCGCGCCGCCGCGCGAATCGAACAAGTAGTGGGGGAACTCCCTCGCGAAACGCTGATCGCCGAATGCGCCACGGCGAAATTCCGCTGACAAAAGCCGCGGCGAAAAACGCGTCGGATCGGACGCGTGAAGGAGCCCCAGTTTCCAGTCCTGCGTGTGAATCTGATCGGCCGCTGCGGCGAGCCGCGACGCGCCGTAGCCAGTGTCATCGTGAAATAAGCTGCGGGTATCGTAATTCCCCCCAATGCCATTGTTGTGATAGCGGTACCGCGGCAGCGGCGGCCGCGGCGGCGGCGGTGGTGGCGGCGGCGGGTGCTAAGACGGCGAAGGGGAAAGAAGAGAGCGGGGCGGGCAGGTAGTGGTTCACAGGGGGGAACGAGAGGGAGTGAGAGGAGTCGAGGAACGGTGAGGCGGTGTGGGTGAGCGCAACACTCGCCCGCGTAGCCTACGTACGTGTGCACAATGGCAACCTTGACACTTGGTGATCGTTTTTGGCGGCTCCGCGCCGTGGAGATCGTGCGTCCGGCTGCATCGCGTCGCGAGTGAAAGCGACGACAGCGGGCACGCCTCGAGCAACAACCAGCGGGCGAAGGAAAGAGAGAGAGAGAGAGAGAAAGCGAGTGCGAGAGAGAGAGAGAGAGGAGAGAGGCAGGAGAAGGCGAGCGGTGCCGAAAGACGCGGGAGTGCCGCGTACGTGGACGTCGACGTCGCGACTCGACTCGGAATCGCTGTCGTATCCTCGGCGCCGCAATTTCCCTTGCGCGACGCGCACCGCAGCCTCCCTCCGTTTCGCTCCTCACGCTCCGGATCGTCGTCCTCGTCTTCGGAGTAGCGTGGCCGCGAAACCGTCACGCCGCGTCGCGCGTTGCGCTGCGTCGTGCCGTGGCCGTGTCGCTTCACGTCACGTCACGCCGCGCCGCGCGTCGCGTCGCGTCGCGTCGCGAGCGCGCGACATCCCCGGCCGACGCGCCGATCGCGAAAAACGCCGTCCACGAGAGTCCAGGGGAGAGTTGAATTAAAGGTTAGACGAGAGAGAGTGACAAGTGTCAACGTTCGTTGTGCAAACGGTATGAATCATCGCCCTCGCACTTGTCGTCGTCATCATCATCGTTGTGTGTTGTAGCGACGCGTTCGTCCGTGTGCGAAGCGATAAAATTGTGATAGCTCCGAAGTTGGTGTCTCGTCTACTAAACGAAGCTTCTCAGACAGGCGCGTAATTTAACGAGTCTGCATATGTCGCTCGATTATACTACGTCACGACGAGTTTTGTTTCGCGATGTCTTACTTCATGATGAATTACAGCGATATAAATTGTACAAGTCAAATTTTAAGAAATATAAATTTAATGTCTACATAAATATATATATATATATATTTTTTTTTAATATACAAATATAAATGTATGTACAGTCGTGGACATACCATATCGGTTGCGACACTTTTTTTTTAATAGGTTGCGAAACGCACTAATATTTTGCAAATGCGTACCACGATTGATGTACCGTTTCTAGACTAAAGATAGTAAATCATCGTGGTTCGCATTTGCAAAATATTAGTTACCCATAAATTATATATATATATATATATAATATATATATTATATATATTAAATATGTATATACTCTCTAAAAACCTATGAAAAAAAAGTGTCGCGACCGGTATGTCCACAACTGTACATATATTTTTTTAAAATATATGTATGTATATATAAATGATAATAAATCGCTGTAATTATATATAAGACTCTCTTTGCCGTTAATTAATTATTTTCGTGATACTTCTACGTGAACGCGTGAACTCTTGACACATTTGTGTGACCGTCATTGAAAAGTTCAAAAAAATCTGCGTAAAAAAAGCCTTTTCGACTGTTTAGCTCCGACGTTGAATAAAATCGGGAATAGGCAAACGGAATTTCGTGAATTATGTTGGATATTTTAAGGGATCGATGTTGCGAACACGTTTTCCCGGTTCGTCGCTCATTATCGCTCGGCGAAACTTGAGCGCGGAGAAACGTCACTCGCGCGATCGTGCGACCGGTCGGACGACCCAATTTCTTTTCTCGCCGCACGCGGTACCGACGAGAACAAAAAAAAAGAAGAAAAAAAAGACGAAACCGTACGCGGACGCGGAGTGCGTGTGCCGTATAGCTAACGCGCGTGGCGTGGCTATTCCGCGTGTGCGCGAACGCACGCGGAAGCCCTGCGTCTCTTCTGTCTCTTTCGTTTCTATGCGTACGCGTCACGCACGACGCCAGGGATTGATCCTCCTTGACGGAGGAGCTGACGAGACGCGATTTCCGCAACATCCGCGTTCTTTAGCGACGATAAGAAGGATCGAGCCGTATCTTAGAATGCCAGCGCGCTCGTTACTCTTTGAAGTCCGAAGGAGTAATTGTTCCCTGAATATTTAAATTGTTTCATCATTGAAACACTTGCGCGAGTGCTCGAGACGTTCAATCGAGACAATCCTGCGAAAGTTCTGTACAACAATCAAGCATGAATTGAGAATTTATTTGGATTTAAATGAAGCTTGCCTTCGGCTTGCTGATTTGTTCACTGTCACCCAGACCGCGCGACGAGGAAACAATAACGATGACAACGACGACCTCGTCGTTTTATCCGAACGGCGGATAAGAGTCGGGCCGATTCGAGCAACGCTGCGTCGCGACACGTTTCGTCTTATTGAGCCTTCATATTCCGTTCCAAGGGCAGCGTGCGTTTAAGTCAGTATAGAATTTCGTCTATCACGAGGAGCCATTCGATCCGCGCTAGATTTAAATGATCATACACGGAGAGAATTTTATTTTGAAATTTACCCTGAAAATCATGCTAATCGCGGGACAATATAGTATTTCGATGAATTTTATGTGATTTTTCACTATTTTCTTAAATATATACTACAAACAATTTATTGTAGTGAACAGTAAAAAAAAACAGAGAAAATCACATAAAATTTGTCGAAATGTTATGTTGTTCCACGATTAACATGATTTTCAGGGTAAATTTTAAAAGGAAGTTCTCTCCGTGTACAGATTACATTATAAGAATTTATAATCGCTGCTTTATACTTTTTTCCCCCGTTTCAACATTCAACTCGCATTTTCACGTTAGAGCTACGTGTGTCGCGTGGCGTGGTATTGCGTTATATAGCACACTTCAGGTGTGTGTGTATATATATATCGATTATGCTATATTTGGTGTAACATGATGCAATCTGTTACGAAACATCTCGTCTAATGTGTATATACACCGCAGTTTCCTTGTTCTCCAGCTGGAGAGACTCGCTTTCATTCTGTACACAAAATGTATCACGACGAAAAGTTAGTTTACTTAAGTGAATTTGTTCGCACGAGCGAACGAGAGAAAGAGAGAGAGAGAGAGAGAGACGAAATTGTGCGTGGAATAATCCGCGCGAGTCGAACAAGTTAAATGGAGAAGCGCGCTTCACGACTTGTTCGACTCGCGCGGATTATTGATGAACGGTGCTCTCGGCTTTTGTCTTCCATTCATAATGTTATCGCTTAGCCGCGCGAGGTAGAAATAGCGTCGAGAAATGTCATACCGTCTGTCGACAATCGATGACTGTTTTATAGCTAAATATATATATTTTATTTTATATACCGCGTACGTGTTTCTTCGCGAATATCTTTTGTATGGTAGAGTACTAGTACCTTTTTTTTTTTGCAAAAAGGGATAAAAGATTGCATCTTGTCACAAGAAAAAAAACCGATTATCTTATCTGCCGTTATTATCTCTTCGCGATATTAAATATTATCACAGACATGTGTAACAACGGTACGATCAAACGAAAGCCAAATGAAAGAAATATCGCGTTATTATATCTAAAATTATATTCGGATTCTCTCACTTGCGTACTCAAAAAGAATTGAAAGCAAATCCATTTCTTTCTTTCACAATCTTTAAATTCGTATATAAGCTGTAAATATGGAGCTTTGCGTTGTTTGAAACAAATAGTTAAATAATGCTCCATATGAGTATAGAGTTTTCCATTATTTTAAACAAATATTTAGATTTTTAAATAAATTAGAAAGAAAATTTTAAATTTCTACAAAATTGAGATAAGGAAAAAGAAAAAAGAAGACTGGGGTTTAAAATCACCACTGCCTGCCCCGCGTCTTTCCGAATCTCGCGACTAATCCTCGCGAGTGCGCGACGTTTCGATGAATACACCTCGGTGACAAGTTCCTGACGTGCGAATGTTCTTGCAGAGAATCGTGGTCACGTGTGCGGACGTTGACGTCGGAGCGGCAGCGAGGGATGCAATTTCCCGTGTTCGCGAGTGATAGCCGCGGCAGCACGGCTGCCGCGACCACATAGTCTCGCGTGCACGCACGCGGACAGAACAGTATATCGTCAGTGCATCGTCATCCTCGTCGTCCTCGTCCTCGTCGCTCCGTGCGTGCGAGCCAACTACCGAGAATGCCGGTGTGAAGTAAAGAAGAAACCAAGCGCTGCGAAAAAGAAAAAACGCTCCGCAATTCTTGCATGTCGTAAATTTTACCCATCACCCCGAGGATACACGCAGAAACAAGGTGAGCGCGCCGAAAATTCTAATTAAGCTATTATAGAGAACGCGTCTTCTCTCGTTGCGGGATTCAAAATCTCGATGGAATTTCGCCGAGTTCAGTTCCCGCGGGATCCGTGGGACGCGCGGCGAGAGGCGAGCTTCGCGCCTGTGTTTGTGTGCCGAATCGTCGCGAGATTCCCTTATCGCGTTTACACGCAGGCGGAAATTGAACTCGTCGAGAGATTGTCGTGGTTTCAATCCTACACTTTTTTTTCCATCGCCAGGCTGTTAACTTTTTCAAGACATCGATGATGATTTAACTCGACAGATGTTTTGACTTTTCTGGGAAATTAAAATGGAAATCGATCGTTCATTCTATCCGGCTCGGTTTTACATTGAATCGGCAGTTCGATTTGTGATGTCTTGCTAAATTTAGCATTTCACGAAATTAAAAACTATAGGAAAACCTGTAAATTGTAAAGTTGAGAGAAGTTTCTTTCTCTCTTGCTCTGATTTTATTTTGTTTATGCAGCTAAAGGAGTCTTGAAAGAGTTAAAGCCACTTTGTGTTCTTGCAGTACAGATTGCCTTGTTTGCGCAGCTTTAATCTCCACGCGCTTTGATGCTTTATTAATTTATGTTTTGGTATACTGCTTGATGTACTTTGTATCTATTACTTCTTTCAGACACACCGTGCGAGTTGCTTGAAGTAGCTACTTGAAAATTATACTATTCCTAATTCTGAATTCAGCATCCTTTACGAATTCTAATCAAAGAAAATTGTCTATATTCTCTCCGCACATTTAGCACTAAGTAAACGTTGGAAATACAGACCAAGAATTGCTAGAAATGGACCGAATTATACTAAGAATAATAAAGCCTCGTATTCTGATGTATACACGTAGTATGTAGGATTAGTAAATGGAAGCTAGCCGGTGTTTTAGCCGGTATTTCCGTTCGTATTCCATTACGATTCTATTATCGCGACCGTAAAACATGTCGCGCCTCGACACATCCGTCTTACTAATTCCGGACGACGTTAATTGCGAAGTAAATTTGTTCAAACTGCGCAAGCGGACAAGTTCCTTATTTTCTCACGATTATTTTTCATATGGCGACGATGCCGAATATTTCTTATTTTAAACTTGTCTTAAAACATAGAGAGAGAGAAACAGAGAGAGAGGGAGAGGAAAAGGTATTCAAGCTATAGAAAGAATATACGTCCACAAGGACGATAGCGGTGTACGGTCAGACAAAGAATGAAGGGAACGAAACACGCACGCATATGGACGAAATGAAAGAAAACACAGACAGAGATAAAAGAGAAAGAAAGAGAGAGAGAGAGAGAGAAGGAAGAGACAGAAGAGAAAGAGAAAAAAGAAAGGAGAAGAGAGGTAGACAGAAGAAAGAAGAGGCAAAACTACTCGGCAAGCTTGAGAAACGAGAATCGCACCGGTCTGCCGAACTTTTTGTAGTTTGTTTGGACGATATTTTGCATTATTTTTTATGCTGTTAATTGGAAGCGTCTCAAAGCAAACACAAAATTCACATTTCTGTGAAGCATATCTAGATATTGCGCTACATTGATATCAATAACGATAGGATCAGATATATTCGTGATTAAGTAAAAATATTAAATTTCTACAGAAATAATTAATATACCGATGCAGCTGATGAGTAATATAGAAACAGAGTAACTTTCTTTAAGCTATAACTTACTGTTGTAAATAAGAAAAAAATTACTTCTTGAAATTTAGCGCCCCAAGAATCATGGTCAGTCGCTGTGATCGTCCTATTCGAAGCCTTTCTTTAGTTTCTTAATAATTTTCTTAATAATTTTTGTTACGATGTATGTTGTTAACCTAGTGTTCAACCCTCTCTTTCGATTTAAAGGACTAGGCTGCACGTTTTTTTTAAATATTTTATTATCAGCATGAACGATTTATGACATTACATTTTTTTACGAAGTCGCATCTGTTACAATAGTAATTAGCGTAGAATATCACTCTCACTGTATGAGATTTTATATTGAAAGGTTTATAATGTTTATATGATTGCAATGCGCGTAAAAAAAATGAATAACATCAAGAGATGAAGAAATGTAAATTGATTGAAGGAAGTATACAAAAACATCTCACGAACTGAATTCGCTACACACAATCTTACTCAACAGGTTTTATAGTTATGAACCTCGAAAGAATAAATGCCACCAAAAAAGTACCCGCTACAAAACAAATGACGAAAACATACCAAGTTTCTTCGTCAAACACATCGGTGAAGGCTGGAACTTGACTGTAAAGCATGTCGATAAGTCTTAAATTGTAATTTTTACTACTTTTTGTTTGGCTCTCCATTTTTAAACTAGTATCCTTCCCGTACATTTTAAAGCTGGGGTTTCCCTTTTTTATTCGGCTTATTACAGTGAAATATATTTGGATTGCACTAAAACTAAATTTCTAGATTTAATATGAATCTAGCTTTCTTTCGGTGTTAGCGTCTTTCGGTGTTTAGTAAATAGAAAATCCTGCAAAAATATAAACGATAATCATTATTAATATCTATATAGACTCTCTACAAAATTTAAAAAATACTAAATTCTCTCTTTCAGACAAAATGTTTACGCTAAATTGATCACGTTCCTGAATTGGCAATTATAGTCGTACAAACTATTAGATTTTTGCAAGATGCATGTGAAAAAATGGAATGAAAATCACTGCAGCTTCGTATAAAGAGATATTATTTAAAGATGTTTCGTTTGAGTAGATGTTTGGAAAAACTTGTACACCACGGAAATACAGTTTGATACTTTTGTTTATTACCAATCATAAACGGTCACCAATGAGATTAGAGTATCACTCCTCTATGCTTGCTCCATAATTTTATTTTATGATGCGATCGCCTTTTCTTCTTTTTCTTCGCCTCAAGGAGCGCTTTTTTAGCTTCAAGCTCAGCCGGATCGGGCGGAATTAAACTGGTGACGTGCTTGTTGTAAAGCTCCAAGATGTTTAGGCTCGATAATAGGGCTGTTTTTAATATTATTTTTTCACCTGACTCTGAAAGAATAAACAGACCAGGATTGACCTACTTGCTCTGCGCGTGATAACAATGGTCGGGAGAAAAGGTATAAAAGAAAAAAATCTGGACGAATAATAGATGAGTAAAGATGTTGTCAATGCCATCGATTTGCTCTAACGCGGAACAGAGCTCCGTTTGATGCGCAATACGATTTCCTAAAGATTTGTCGAACGAAAACCCGATTCAATCACCCTACGCATCTTTCTCTCTTCGTATTCTCTCTCTCTCTTTTTTTAATACCTTTCCACATTGTACGATGCGAACGCTCACGTGAATGAATTGACCGATAGCAATACGCACTGAAACGTAAACGGTGACGCGAACAATTCTATACTTTTGCTATTATACTCACGAAGACTGAACGTGACAGTTGGCTCGGAACGATCGCACACGACCTCCGTTTTCAACAAGCACTCCGGATTTGTCGCACGAATCCTCGGAGCGCTAATGTAAAACAGAAAATCTCTGCAAATAAAAAGCGTTATGCATGTTATTTTCTCATGTATTAATCTGTAACCAAGTCTCGCACATTCTCACACACACACACACACACGTCTGTACAATCTCTTTGAAACCGTAGAAATTAAATTTTTCATCGCTTAAGTCTACGTTTTGTTCTTTTGCCTCTTCCCTCTTCTTTATTTTTTTATTATTTTTTTTTACAGTTTTGTCTTGCGACAGCTTCGTAGTAAAACGTGATTTGCTAATGCTATTCCTTCCCGTTGTGTTTCTCAATGTGTGTTTATCGTTTCCTTTCGCAGGCAAAATGGCACAAATGGAGCAGCAATTACCGCTTCCAATGCCAGATTTAAGTACCCTTCGTATAACCACAGCCGTCTCCATGCTCGGCAAAGCATATGGATGTGGCCAATGTAATGGTGAGTTATATTCGTTTTAAGTAATTAAGGGAGAAACGTGAATGAAGAGCGGAAGGAAAGTAATGATTGTTGTCGCGCATATCCGTCTTTCAAATACATTTCCAGTTGTGCAAAATAATCATAGATCAATCATTTTTCTTCAATTTTTACACCGCAAAAAAGATGTCCAGGATAATTAGATCTCTTCACAAAAATATTTAAATTTCGTGTCTCTTAGATGTATCTTGACGCGTGTATTTACGGATTGTACTTCTGTGTATTATAAACGCAATTATTAATCGAAGTCGAATTAAATTATAGACAATTCTATAATCTATAAATGAAAAGACAGAGACAAATAATGCACATACGCGCACGCGCACACAACTAATTGAAATAATATGAGAGCACTGTCCTCGCACGTTGACAGTCCAAGCGACTCCAAGACCCGTCTTCGACGATCTGCAATTCGCGTTAGAATTTAAAAATATAATTTTATTTGATAATAAAATTATTAATGATTTATTAGAATTAAACTATCACCTAATATTATTTATATTATTTAATATTGATAAAGGTAAATAACTTTTTACGTGCACGCACGAATGACGTTCGAAGAAAAACAATACACACACACAATTATTTAAAATTTCGTACGTGATCAATGGAAATAGGGCGTAGTCGTACTATTCGAGGCCCGAATTACAGATCGTCCGAAAAGCGAGTTTTATCTCGCTGATCCAATATGTGAAAACGGGGAAGGTAGATAATTCACGTCGTCGCGCGGACGTCGATATCGAGCGCAGCGAACGCCATGCTTGTGTGGAAACGTCAAAGTCGGTATTGCGAAATCGCGAGGGGGATAGAGGGTGGAGAGAGGGCGAGGGATAAGGATCTCTGTTTTCTCCTGTTCTTTTTACCTGTTAACGCGAATTATCTGGATAAATCACGGGAACACACCGGGGAAGAGCACCGCGAATCTTCGAGACTGCTCTACCTCGACTAGCAACGCACACAGGATCGGGACACACTTCTATAAATAACGACAGGGCTGCGGCATCGTCTGCTAACCTGGCGCAGCTGGCGCCGAGGGTTGCGCGTTGCGCGTGCGTGCGTCGGTCTGTCCGTCCGTGACGTCATCGGCTGCCAACTTGACTCGCGGTGGTTGATCGTTACCGGGATAGTCGAGGGGTGAAGTCTTCGACCAATCTCTGATTAACTTGTCGCAAGCGATACCGTGAATATAGTTACCATGAATAGAATTATTGATTTTTTTGTCGTCCCTCACACGCAATTCTGCCCATTGAATTACTCGTCAATTAAGTTAATCAGAGTTTCGCCGGAAATCGTCCTCTCGGAGAGAAATCTGTTTTACACATCTTCTTTATAGCTGAACTATACATTCATACTTAAAGTAAAATAGATGTATATTTGAAATTTGGTTAAAGCAAGAAAGTTTTAATGCAGCGATAAAAAAATGGGCCTACGATTTCGCTTGAAACTGCAGAACATTTATCCTCCCTTTTTCTCGCAGTTTGAATAAATGTTACTTCGGAGGATTAATATACAATCCGCAATAAATCCTCATGTATTCATCTTCGAAATGTTGTGCGTCCAATCGAATTTCGATAAATCGCGTAAAAAGACAAAAAAATTAATTAAACGGAAAACTTTGACGATTTTTTAAAATTTCTCGCTAGACCTTTTACACAAAGAGATTATACAAACGTGTTTTTTTTTGGAGATTAAAAAAAATAGGTGGATGCGATATCTCGCGCACCGAAGCTCCTTTCGATAATTCCCGCGGAGTCGCGAGAATCGTGACGCGCGTCCGCCGCGCGCGGGCAACTTCAGGGGGGGGGGGG